TGTTTTTTTCCAGATAGCGTGACTTCAATTACCAAATTGTGGTGTGTAAGACAGGTGTGAACTTATTTGGGATCTGCTTTACTCTACTATTAAATGACATATACAGCCAATATAATCAACACGCATATATGGTTATCATTCAGTCAACTTGTTTTATGACCGACTCATTGGTATATAAAGAAGACTAAAGACAAAATTTTAAGGTCGCCATCATAGTTTCATAGTGCTATTTCTGTGTGTGATATGAAAGTCGATCTTTTGATTACACCCATTAGAGTGCCTTGTGGTTTTGTTGTCACCACCTTAATTCTCGGTGCGAGGACGGGATATTATGTGGAATTGACCTGGGTTTACATGGCTGGTACAGTCGATGATGATAAGACGCTTACCCAGCCGGAGCACCTTGTTGTATTATCCTTGTACTGTTTCAAGGGTCCCATGTAAATCGATATTTATTCCCCTCCCAATATGGATATGGAGTTGTTCGATAATAAACAAATGGTTCTATTAGCGCATCTTCCTTGGTGCATACGTTAGACTTCGATTTTTATTTTGGGAAAACACTGATCATTATATCAAAACTACGTGTGTAACTGCTGTTTAGAGAAGTCAGGTGTGCATACATTTTGCTTTGTCGTGGAAAGAGAGATATTATCGATTGTAAGCGTTTCTGGGCATATTAAAGTATCAGCACCAAACTCGATATTACACAAGTAGTGATATATGTGCCTATTGGCACTTACACTGTAAGCATTTAGGCGAATGGTGCTCGTCGGAAAGGAAATAGTAACGTTTCTGAAACATTTCTCGGAATCAATTGAAAGTTTCGGCAGCAAACATTGGCTGCATTAAGCATTATGATGGTACATACGTAATTAGACATTTCCCACCCACATAATAAGCAAAAATACTGAAGTAATTACGTAGCGTAAGAAGCCTTTAAATTGACCAATATATATATGCTTGAATCTAATGACTTGCTTCCAGTCCGTTAGAAACATTTTTTGTTGTGTAATACATTTATTGTAAATATATTGAGTTATTTCCCTTTATGTAAGGAATGGACAAGTGACTTGGATTTTTTTCCAGGAATGATTTGTTATTAGCTAAAGTACACGGTTCTTATTGAGAGCAGAAAAATATGACATGTAAACATGTTCATTTAATAATATCTGATATATCATATAAGTATATATGTATAAGTGTAGTTTTTAGGCGACTAAATCCGTACACGAAACATTAAACGTTTAAAGCTTGTGAAATATAAGTATATAATGAAAAAGCATATAATCAATGTTTGTAATTCACAGGGATATACGAACTAATATTATTAAAATAAAAGAGCATTTCTTATTACATATTATATGATATACAACATTTAATTAACGCCCTTTCTAGTTAGAATAAGTCACTCTAAAGCGCTTTACAGTACATAGATATACAATTTATACAATAAATACAATTAACATATACATTAAATAATACATTAGTCAATACAATGTAGAGGAATTTGCAGGGACTGCCTTCACAGGCGCTAACTTCTATTCCTATGCCACCTGGCTAATATCTCCCTTTGTGTGTATGCCTGCGTGTGTGTTGGAGATGAATTGTATTCTTTTTGTAGTGGGACCGTGCTTCCAACGGACTCTTTTATAGCGCCACCTCACCTGAATGCTACATCACCGATACCGCAACACCCACCTCAGACCATTTTATATTTCGCCTGGGTTGTTAGAGTTGTGTGGATAGGAGAATACACTATCTCAGAATATCCCATGCATACGACGACTACAGGGATCAAAGCCCGACCGCCTGCGTGGAAGACCGGGTGTTTACTGATCGGCCAATCCGCCCATATATTTTGAGGACTTGGGAGAAAATCCCTAATTACGTAGGTTGTATATACATCGAAATTTGATTATACGATCTTAAAGTAACACGAGAAACATTCTCTCAATTACAAGCTCACATGGCATGTTCATTTTGTATTTGATCATTTTTTTTTTTTATCAGTAAATAGTTTTAAGGCAAGGAAACGCTTTTCATTCAGGACACATGATTGTCCCCGGATTTTAATGATGATAATGCTGATGTTATCTTTAGGTTTGTTATAGTGTCTCACTTTCCTGTTTATTTATTACAACTTTGAGTTGTTTATTTTGTCCTTTCGTGTTGACGCAGTGGTATACTTTGACCCTATGTGTTGACGCTTTGTTATACTTTGTCTCTATGTGTTGATGCTGTGGTATATTTGGTCCCTGTGTTAGACGCTGTGGTATATTTGGTCCCTGTGTATTGACGCTGTGGTTCACTTTGTCCCTATGTGTTGACGCTGTGGTTTACTTTGTCCCTATGTGTTGACGATGTGTTATACTTTGTCCGTATTTGTTGACGTTGTGGTTCACTTTGTCCCAATGTGTTGACGCTGTGTTATGCTTTGTCCTATGAGTTGACCCTGTGGTATACTTTGTCCCTATGTGTTGACACTGTGGTTCACTTTGTCCCTATGTGTTGACACTTTGTGTTTTAAACTTTGTCCTTATGTGTTGACGCTGTGGTATATTTTGTCCTGGTGTTTTGACGTTGTAGTATATTTTGTTCCTGTGTGTTGACGCTGTGGTATATTTTGGCCCTGTGTAAGGACGCTGTGGTATATTTTGGCCCTGTTTGTTGACGCTGTTGTATACTTTGTCCCTATGTGTTGACGCTGTGTTATACTTTGTCCCTATGAGTTGACGCTGTTGTATAATTTGTCCCTATGTGTTGACGCTGTGTTATACTTTGTCCCTGTGTATGGACGCTATGGTATATTTTATCCCTTTTTGTTGACGCTGTCGTTTACTTTGTCCGTATGTGTTGACGCATTGTACTTTGTCTTTATGTGTTGACGTTGTGGTTTACTTTGTACATATGTATTGACACTATGTTATACTTTTTTCTGATGTGTTGACGCTGTGGTTAACTTTGTCCCTATGTGTTGACGATGTGTTATAATTTGCCCGTATTTGTTGATGCTGTGGTTCACATTGTACCAATGTGTTGACGCTGTGTTATGCTTTGTCCTTATGTGTTGTCGCTGTGGTTCACTTCGTCCCTACGTGTTGACGATGTGTTATACTTTGTCCCTATGTGTTGACGCTGTGGTTCCCTTTGTCCCAATGTGTTGACGCTGGGTTATGCTTTGTCCTTATGTGTTGTCGCTGTGGTTTACTTTGTCCCTATGTGTTGACGATGTGTTATACTTAGTCCCTATGTGTTGACGCTGTGGTTCACTTTGTCCCTATGTGTTGACACTTTGTGTTATATTTTGTCCTTATGTGTTGACGCTGTGGTATATTTTGTCCTTGTGTTTTGACGTTGTAGTATATTTTGTCCCTGTGTGTTGACGCTGTCTTATACTTTGTCCCTATGTGTTGACGCTGTGGTTTATTTTTGGCCCTGCGTAAGGACGCTGTGGTATATTTTGGCCCTGTTTGTTGTCGCTGTGGTATACTTTAATTTGTCCCTATGTGTTGACGCTGTGGTATACTTTGTCCCTATGTGTTGACGCTGTGTTATACGTTGTCCTTATGTGTTGACGCTGTGGTCCATTTTGTCCCTATATGTTGACGCTGTGTTATACGTTGTCCCTATGTGTTGACGCTGTGGTATATTTTGCCCTTGTCGGTTGACGCTGTGGTATATTTTGTCCTTAACGGTTGCCGCTGTGTTATACTTTGTCCATATGTGTTGACGCTGTGGTATATTGTTGCCCTGCGAAAGGACGCTGTGGTATATTTTGCCCTTGTCGGTTGACGCTGTGGTATATTTTGCCCTTAACGGTTGACGCTGTGTTATACTTTGTCCCTATGTGTTGACGCTGTGGTTCACTTTGTCAATATATGTTGACGCTGTGTTATACGTTGTCCTTATGTGTTGACGCTGTGGTATATTTTGCCCTTGTCGGTTGACGCTGTGGTATATTTTGCCCTTAACTGTTGACGCTGTGGTATATTTTGTCGCTGTTTGTTGACGCTGTGGTATATTTTGTCCCTGTTTGTTGACGCTGTGATATATTTTGCCATTGTCGGTTGACGCTGTGGTATATTTTGTCGCCGTTTGTTGACGCTGTGGTATATTTCGTCCTTGTCAGTTGATTCTGTGGTATATTTTTTGATCTGATGTATTGACGCTGATGTTGCTTGCAAACAGGTTTCGTTTGCCTCAGGAAATTGACCTGGTCAAGGGAAACCAGAAACTAGCTACAATACTATTTTTTACCGATACCAACCATGCAGACATTCCGAGCAGCATAATTGCATTTAGTATGCTGTGTTGAGAAAGTCGTGCCGGTTTACACAATCCTACTAAATGAAGGTTTTTAACTTTTGAGACTGTAAATGAAGTATGAAAATAATCGTGACCGCATCTGATTTCATATATGTATTCTTTATGAGTGCTTGCCTCAATATTTTCATTTTTAAAGATGGCTTCATATGTACATGTACGGTAGGTATTTGATTATTTGTTTATACTTAGGTGAAACGATGTTCAGGTGGGGATCCACCCTATACAACTGTAGTTGACATCTTGGCGTGTGTATTTTCGGCTTATGATGACTCCCCTTTCCTATTGATGTGCCGTTAGTCACGTTCTCCTTTTCCCTTTGTGTTGATGCTATACTGCATTTTCCATTTTGTACACTACCCATGCGCTTTTAGTTAGGTTCAAATCTATGTACATATCAACACACTGAAAGGTAAGTTTACCCCTGAGCCATAGGCAGCGGCACTAAATGTGTAGGAAACATGGCCTCTACCTCTATCAATCCACCTGCATGTGTACAGTTTCTCTGAAGACATTTAACCTGTTTTCATATTTGTGTGCTTAGCTAGACCACGAAACCGCGCTACATTACTGCCAACTAAAACTCATGTTGATTTTTTTTTTATTTTCTTTTACATGCTAGCTACGCCTCTGAAATTACACTTACAAACATCACAAACAATACACGGAAAACATTGAATTGGTAATGTTGGGATTTTATTTGTAATCAAAAATGTAACAACAGGATCCTTCGTTCTACGCCTACTTGCACTTGTCAAATGTACATTTGCCAAAAAAGATGGAAAAAACAGGTGGACAATCAATGTTAATTAATACGTATATATGTACAAGAGTCTGACATTCAGTGTATCACTGTCAAGCCAAGTTCACTTTCATAAATTCACTTACATGGTCGGGGTCAATCCTTATAAACCGCACGCAGGGAGATAAGTCTCACCAACTCATTTGTCTAGTATAGTATCATGTGCTAAAATGCATACGCAAAATAGGACAGTATAGAAGTGAAAAAAAATCATTGGCGAATTAAAAAAAAAATATAAAAAAAATGAAGATATTTTAATCCACGGTTTGAAATTGATGTCTAAACACGGTAGATTAGTTGACCGGTCAATTACAACATCTGTTAGTAATGAATAGCGATCTAGGCTGGCTTAAAATAATATAGCGACATACGCTTCTAGAGACATTGTTTATTAATAAGAATGCCACTATCCACGTAGAAATGTCTTCAATATTATAAAATATGTCTATTTTGATGATTTTATGCGCGATTTTTAGATTTAAGATCTGACCGATATAGACCCTTTGCAGGAACTCCATGCAAACCGTTTACATCTCTTTAGCTTCAACAACATTCATCAGCATCATACATTTACTGGGTTTTGAAAATTCCATAATACCTCTTTTCAGCTGCAATTTAGCTTTAAAAATGTCATACTGAAATGCTAAAGGCGGGTTCGTAGAACACACTTAACACAGAAAGTGTATTGAAAACATTTACAAAACACTTACATGGAAGCAAACACGTTCTTACACTACCACTACATTATGGTAACACACTGTTTGGCAGACAAAGAATAATATACGCTAGAAGCCATTAACATATGGCAAAGAGGGACAGGATAATTAGATTTATTTCAAAAATGTTATTATTAATTAAGTAAAGACGGGAAACGTTTTCTTGTTCTTTCTCATATATCTTAAAATTTTCAGATTTGTACAAAAGTGCTTATGTAAATAGAAATATTTGGCAAACGAAATACTTAAGCCCATAAATGTAATAATTGATTCCGTATCGACATATAAAATACAATGTTGGTACACTGTTTATCTTAAACAGATGTAACCGTCAGTGGTTGAGGAGAGGAACGTTGACAGATAACAAGACAAACTCAATTAAATTACATAAAAACATTTTGAAGTTTTGTACCTTACTCTATGTCTCTTAATTTTACAAGGAGAACAATGATATATGGTGCAGAGCTCTACACATGTTTAAGCTATTTGTAAACCAATTTCACACCCTTCAACAGTTATCCCCTCAAATAGGCACTGCGTGAAGATGCCGAACTGACATACTATTAACCATTACTCGAGTGCGTCGTTTATAATGGAGTTTTAAGTTAAATCAAGAAATGCCCACGGGATAATTATTCTCCCAGTCAAAGGCAGAAAAGTGGCAAAAACGTATATCATCTGGAACATTATCTGAGATGTCATTGAGAATCATTAATATTCGGAAGGTGTCAATAAATGTGCCATTCCTAACCTTGCTTTTTCAAAACGACTTTTCTGATAAGAAGAAATGTATAAGCATATATGTCGATATGACTTCATCTAATTCGAGTTTCAAGCTGCCCGAGAACATGTGGCGTCCCTGTACCCTATTGATACGATGTCTAACACGAACTCAACAACCAGGCATCAATACACATATTCATCTATATATTCATTGCGCTTCCAACCAACGCTAGACTTTTCAATGACCTAACAGGTAAACGAATGTTGGTTCAGGAATGGCCACATACATTCATTCCTAAAATGCTTAACGAAAGAAAAAAGTGTCTGGAAATGTGTAGAGGTACATGTGGAAAGAGGTTCCAACCAGGATATATGTAATCGAGTAAGTAGTAAGTTCTATCCACAATAAAACAACACCACGTGACCTTATGTGATGTCAGTGGTACGACACACGTGTGTTCCCCGTGCTCTGGTAAGTTTCAGTTTCCCTCTATACACACCTGTGCGTTAATAATAATACGAGTTCATATCGGCCTACAAAGCGCTGTGATCTGTTAATGAATTAAAACGATATGTCCCATACAAATCTGTCTGCGTTAAGATTAGATTGTTTATAATGGATGTCAATCTAGAAATTTTTGTCATTCCTAGGTTTGTCAAACTGAACATTTATCATTAGGTTTGTTATACTAAGTGTTAACCCATAATGTGTCTTATACTAGACTTAAATCAAGAAGGTTATTTATACCTTAAATTAATTAAATTTTGTTTTTATATTGAATGCTCATCCAAGTGTGCTACATTTAACTTTAATCCATTCAGTTATTTATCAATTCAGAACGTTTGTTATACTCAATGATAATCCAGAACTTTTGTTATACTTAATGATAATCCAGAACGTTTGTTACACTCAATGATAATCCCGAACGTTTGTTATACTTAATGGTAATCCAGAACGTTTGTTATACTCAATGATAATCAAGAAGGCTTTTTATTTTAATGTTAATCAAAGAGGCTTGTTATAACTAATGCTAATCAAGGAGGTTTATTATACTCAATGTTATTCAAGGAGGTTTGTTATGCTAAAAGTTAATCAAGAGGCTTTTTATGCTAAAAGTTAAATAAGAAGGTTTGTTATACTAAAACTAATCAAAAGGGTTTATTATACTAAACGTTAATCAGGAAGGTTTGTTATGCTAAAAGTTAATCAAGAAAGAAGGGTTGTTATACTAAATGTTAATCAAGAAGGTTTGTTATGCTTAAAGTTAATCAAGAAGGGTTGTTATACAAATTTGTTAATCAAGAAGGTTTGTAATTCTAAAAGTTAATACTTAATGGTAATCAAGAGGGTTTGTTATACTGAATATTTTTCCATTTATATTGTTCAATTCAAGTTACACCTGTATAGAAGTATATTTCAAAGTAAAAACCTGCTAATCTACCGTCTCCTCTGTACATCTTCTATAGTGTCCATTTACATTTCTTGAGTATATTTGTTTATGAGTCCCATATGCTCTTTTTCTTGATTATACTTCTGGATGTTCAAAACAACGAGGTTTCACCGTGTTTTGTGTTTTGTTAAATAGTTTTATTTTGTTTTGTTTCAAATAGTATACAAATTTGTAATCATGATCTTTCAGCAAAAACAAACATAAAGAGGCAGTTTGCCATTTAATGTGTTAAAATATAAGTATAGTCATATTTGAAAGTGTGGGGAATACAACCATTTGTGATCATACTTTTAATGTAACGACAAGTTGTAAAGTTGCATCAAAATATCAACATACTTTTATGCACATGAAATTATAATTCTTTCCAAACTAGATATATATTAATGATATAATTCGTATTTTTCCCAGTAATTTCTTTTTATTTGGGATATTTCTGGTTTACTTATTGCCATGGTATGCTTGATTTATCACGATTCTGGTTTCAGATCAGATCTACGCAGGTAAAATGGAACTGACTAAATGTAAGTGAGCCACAATCGTGTAAACTAACAATTACATTAATGACACACACTTAAAGATATATATTGCCTTACTATTGTTTTTGTTAGAGAAGTATTTCCCTTAAACCGTTTTAATCAGCATCATCAGATAAACCAGAATAACTCACGTGTTAAAAATAAATGCATTCTAGAGCAGAGTTAATACATTTCATCAAATTCAGTTAAGTGTAAATTGCTTTTGTACAAATTTACATTCCAACGACTCCTTTGTACAGAAAGGTAACATACATCCTTAATGCTGACGAAGTATAACATGCACTCCTTTTTATGGACCAAATTCAATTTAAGAAAATCTGTTGTTTTATGCTGTACGCGTTATTAATAGTTACAAACAAATATTATGTTGAACCAAATCAAGATGACATCACGACTAGACCGGAAGTAGTTGGTGAGCGAGAATACACACTGTCAAGAGAACAACATTAAACATACGGTGTTTTTTTCATACATTAGAATATAAGTAAAACAAGTTGTGTCGGTACTGTTATCGTGAGGTCCTGACCTTGGCGAACGGCACAGGAGCAACTATCGTGGTGAATATTTTGGCATATGTAAGTTTGTTCTTTCTTCTTGTACCAACTGAAACTCTAACCTCACTGTTTCTGTTAGTTCTAATAGTCATCAAAACCAATTGATGCGTTTTAAGTCTAAGCTGCCTTGGAAACTTTCTAGTGTCTGTGAATTTTCGACAAGGAACATTCTTTCCGTTCATTTCGGAGCTAAAACTACATAATCAATTGGTCATATACTATGAGCAAGAGTTTATATTATACAACAGATGAAATATCAACAGCAGTGGTATGACACCATTAGGGTGGCATGATAAAGGTTGAAACAACACTCATAAGAAACAAGGCGATTAGTTTAAAATAAAGACATTTTCTTATACAATGGACAGAGCTAATTTACCCTCCCTTCTACCTACATTTTTGACAGATGTAAAGCAAATCCAGCGACAACACATTGGTATCCGGCACGTGTGCCGTGTAAACACGTAAATAGCGATGCTACACTATTAACCGCATGTTAACGACCAGTTATTGGTATTTGTGCTAAAGATATATACTCGGTTAGAAAATGACTTATTGTAGATATCCAAATATTAACCCATGGTATACATTTAAGAAATATTAACCAAGATGAAAAAATCATGCGATAATTTCAGGAATACTAAGCTTATTTTTTTCCTTGACGCGTTTTGTTTTCTTTCGACAACTGTGATATAAATAAAAAAAAACAAATAATTATTATAAAAAAAATTTTTCATTGAAACTTTCTTCATTCATTTCAATGCTCTACATGTTTTGTGTACGTGCATTATTGTAAATAGTTCTAGTGAACTTATGTTAGTGTGCATTCTTCAAATAGCCATTTCTGTATCCTAAACTTTACAGTATTGGTCTACTAAAACCCTTAAATGTGTTCCCTATAATCAAAGGGAATATGGATGCAATGTTCATTGTGTTTCTATTCTTATCCATTATGAAGAAAAACATTCTTACACGCAAAATCTTTCATTTGGATACATAGTGTTTTCCATTATGGATAATATCACGTTTAGTTAAGCATAGTTATCACATTTTGCATCAGATTATGCAGCCACAGTCAGCCATGAGGTCTAGAATGTTTGGAAGTGGTCGAACTCTGGTACACAAATACGGCGCGGGTTCGATTCTCAGCGTCGGGGGTAAGCTGTGTCAGACTTACAAATGGGTTCTTAACACCGTTATATAAATAAAATAATTCTACATAACATTGGAAAATTATCACTTCTTTGCATTTTAGGAAATATTATATTATGGAAGTGAAATCAAATTATTACAGAACGATAAGAAAAATACCTTACAGGAGTTTCAACTGTTACAACGAAATAACACTACTTTGTTTTTATTCTATAGTGCTGAAAGCAGGAGCAAATATTTAATATTGTTAATTTTTTTTTATAAACAAACCGTACTAATAGTGGACAATAATGGATATTATCAAGAATTGGGATGATATTATAATGTACTTAAAACTGTCTTCATTTTATGCCTAAAAAATAGATCAAATCCTTGTCTAAATTTTGAACTGTTGTACAACTATTAAAAAAACGACTTTAGATACTGATTTGTTGTATACTAACTCAAACATGAACGTATTTACTTTATCCTTATCAGCGTTTCCTTTTTTTTTTTTTATTATTATTAATTGATGACGTTATTAAAAACTATTAAGGCAATTTCTTCATGTTAATCATGTTTATCATGTTTAAAATGCTTAATCTAAACAATAGACTATCAAGTAGAATTTATTTTTGGCATAACCATTTTTGGATAAAATAATGATATTTTGTATATCTGAATGGTAGTTCAGGAGGAACAAAGAAAATGAACAGATCAAGAATAGGTTAAGCTCCGGTAATTGCTGAAAATAAAACCAATACCTATTATAGTAAGTATTATGTAAGACCACTGGACGAGCCCAATCCAGGATCCAATGGCCCCTGTTTGTACAAGTATGACTTCCATACATAATGTTTCTTCACATTTACGTTAACAAGCTCAAGTAAAAGTACGCGCTTGCAATTGTAGATACAAAGAATGATGTTTAAAAATGTTGTTAAGTTCACACCACCTTCTTCCCTTGAATCTCTTCAATCAAGCTTGGTTTAAAATAAAATATGTATAACGCCAACTTGTTTCTGAGAACAAAATTGATTAATAAAAAAGGATGAACCGGCGAACTCTGTGTAACAGGCTAAGCTCAAAGAGTGTCTCTGTCCAGTTTGGCTAAAACAAATAAACACAAACAAAGTGAATTTTGGTGTGGCGATATGGTTAAGATGATGCATGCGCGATTTAAAAACACATAACTTGCGGCTCAATTTGGAAATGTATTATCCGAGTATTCAGTGCAAAACCAATGTTAAGAGGTAGTATTTTTTGACGTCGTTAAAGAGAAAACAAAACTATCCTACACTGACGAACACAGCGGGAGATGTTCACAATGATGCTATATCTTGCTGCAACAAGTTTTGTGTCCAACACTTGCCATCCGACAATAAAGTCGAGATATCCGAGATCGTATTAGCGAAGTTCGACTATAATCTTAGTGCTACATCAATCTCCACACAAGTGGCATCGACGAACACCTAAAAGACACAAAGCCGAAATAAGCTCGAAGTGGCGTCATCATTTTGTGTGCATGTGGTCAATGTCACACTAAATTTCACACAAAGAGTAGGATGAAGTCCTGACGGAATTTATGCCGGTGTCGTCTTTGTTTTGCAACAGATATAATGTTATATTAGTTTCAATTATTTATAACTATTGTTACATATATATATATCTACTGCATAACCAACCGCTTTTGGTTTCTTATTCAATTATGACGTCATTGAACTCTGTCCTAATCGGAATAAACTACTCCGTTTGATTCCAAATGACGTGTAACTATAGATCGCATAAGGAATTACAAGCAGTAGTGAACGGCACCTCGGCGTGTGTGGCACACTTACTTCATAAGCAATATTTGCATTAAAAAAATAGATAAAAAAGTCACAGCCAGAAAATGGACAACCTTAGCAAAGGTATATATATCCATTGACCGTTTAAGTGGGAAACTACCGTACTTTCCCCATATCATTTCACTCATTCATTTCAGTATAACCGTAATTTTCTCGTAATATCACACAAAATGTTAAATGATATTGAAGCAAAAATGTAAAAGAAAACGTGTTTGATGTAAAAAAGCTAACAATATGAAGATGATCATTAACCTTCACTGTTATATACATGTTTAAATCCCGCGTGGGCAAAGTTACAAACTACTAGTACGCAAGGAGCACGTGTAGCTGGATTTAAAACAAACCTCTCATATTCAAGTACACAACTGGTTATAATCACCTACTCCAAATATTTAAAAGACTTTGACTTCTTATCAGAAATCGGTTCTAAATCAACACATTTTTTAAAAACGTTTTAAATGTTTGTATTCTGCTAAAGGCAACATGCTTTAAGTCTGTTGCAAAGGTAGGCTTGCAATACATATTTTGGAAATGAGTCGAGGTCGCAAGAGTTGCTTTGGGTAGCATTCCAGACGCTTTCTGTCGTTGCAAAGAAACGACTTTTAATATAAGAAATATTCGAATGATTTGAGTTCGATGTGGAATGGAAGATATTGTCTTAATCCAAAAATGTTTAACAAAATATATGAATATGTTCACGAAACCAGAATTGAGACGGCGTCAATTTCAAAATATACGGACTTTTCCAAGACTTGATTAGAGAAAAGAATGAAAGGAACTGATCTCACGTTTCTCAGATACAAAATTTGAAACTAGTTTTGCTATCCAAATCTACTTGTTCTAAAATGCTATATTAAACATATTTCACTAAGATGACAGCTCTAATAGAATTCATTCAATGAAAACGACTACCATTTTGTCAAGGAAGATAATTGTCACACGTTTATATGTCAAAAAATCCTATTTTGATATTATTTAGTTACGAGACCTTCTAAAATTGTGCTTAATTCAGTTGAAAATGAGAAAACGTCTGTATAGTCTGGATTGCTACCCTTTTACAGGGAGATACTTTTTAATTATGGTGTCTGCGAATGGATATCATCGAATAACATACGCACTGTCCAATCACTGATAAAAGTAGCATCACTCCTTGGATATCACAAGACCAGTAAATCGACGACAATTAAGACAAGAAAACTTAAACCAAGAGAAAAAAGTTAATTATCATATACCATTTGTTAAGAAATTTAACATGATAAAATAGCTATAAAAAACTGAATGTTCATACATATCATTCAAACAAGGGTTTCAGGAAAGCATGTAATGAGATCATTATGGATTAGGAGTATACAAAAATGTAAACACTATATCTACAGCATTATGGAAGTGAAAACAATCTCACATGATATGAAAGAATGTGAAGTATGGTATTGAAAGTAGAGTTCAGGTATTGTATGAATCGTATGTTCCTGTGTTACCTTTCTCTGGTATCATTTTTTCTTCTTATTCCAGGAACAATCACACCTACTGATTTATCGCCATACTATTTGGATAGTGGGAAACACATCGAAAAAACAACTGGTATCCGCGAAACATTCCGATACTTAGGCCAACAACTTGAAAGGTAACTTNATCATGACAATACGGCCTAGGACATGGAAACCTGGCATCATGACAATACGGCCTAGGACATGGAAACCTGGCATCATGACAATACGGCCTAGGACATGGAAACCTGGCATCATGACAATACGGCCTAGGACATGGAAACCTGGCATCATGACAATACGGCCTAGGACATGGAAACCTGGCATCATGACAATACGGCCTAGGACATGGAAACCTGGCATCATGACAATACGGCCTAGGACATGGAAAACTGGCATAATCTGCCCCTGTTTACGACCCGAACCCTTCTATATCTCCTTTGATTAATTCCTGTTCAGCTTTTGATTGAAAAGCTCAGAAGAGTGATTTAAGCAAGAACAAATTCCCTTATGTCCTCAAAAGACTTCATTGATGTATATTTTGGAATATAACCATTCTTTTTAAAGCTCTTTGCTCAGGAATTTCCAGTTTCAGAAAAAAAGATAGTATTTTCAACTACACTTGTATTCGCTTAATCTACAACTCAAACGTGAACTTTTTTTTCTTGAATCGTGAATGTATCGAATATCGATCGCACTGTGATAAACCTGGAGTCTCAATCACAACACGCCATTTTTACATTTCTATCTATATCCCTATCCTGTTATCACAAGGTAGAAATCCGTATGACGTTCCCTGGGTTCTGTGCCAGCCCCGGATTAGGACTGCCGTATTTGGGTGATGTAGTACCGCTCGTACTCTGGGTTTGGGCTGATTCGGTCTCTGGGGTGGTGCTTGGCGTGGGAAGGGTCACAATAGCTGTGGTGACCGTTAACGTATTGTTAGGTTTGTTGTTCGTAGATGTGCCAACAGCGTTTAAACTCGATCTCGACGATCTATTTATAGTTGGCATACGAATCTGTATATCATTCATATCATCCTTGTGTGCTTCCTGCAAAGGGGAAAAAAGAAATATAATACAATTAAAATATTGAACATTAATGCTGATTGAAAAGGTTACCCGCCTTGTAGTTATATATACATCCGCAAAAAAACCCTTAATGTTATGGTTAATTATTTTTGCGACGTCATTTGATACAAATTGAAAGATGGAAAAATACCTCTGCGGTAACAGAGTAACAAGTTTCAAGGAGGAAAGCGATCTGTCCGTGGTAAACGTGTCCTTGCGTCACCAGATGTACACCGTTTCACACACATAGTTGTTCACATAACAACATATCGTCAACATAGTTCATATCAATACTCAATACAAACACGATTAGATTCTGACTATCAATCTTTCGATAAGTATACCTATTTGTAAAAAGGCTGTACACTGAATTGCAACACTCATATGTGACAAGGGCTATATATACATTGACATGGTGTCAATTTTGTTATCAATAGAGGAAAGGGCTGATGAACTCCATAACTGTTAACCTGAAGGTTCCTACCTTTAAATGTCAGCTTAAGTTAACATCCAGCACATGTACACACTACGCTGTTCCCAGGGATCTTAACTCTAGTCACAAGAATCATTGAGGGTCTTCCTCGAATGTTTCCGTTATTTAGTGAGAGTTATTTATTTGTCACCTGCAAACCTGTTCCTTGCCATCACCGATAGAGTAGAATATCTGTCTAACCTCCAACAACTTTCTTACCGTCAATGACAATGTAGAAAATATCTCTCTAAAATTGTTTTAAATTGAGCATGCTATAGTTGAATAGGTTATGTCTTTATGACTAAGATGGCCCTGCTTCTCTCCCCAATCCGTTATATACCATTCATTATGCGTATCTAGAACTTTATTGTCTACATTTAATTAGACATTGGAATACGTCTTACTCTGAGGTTATTTCAGTCAGTGGCATTGTGAAATACGCGCCTCCGTTAAATACCATGCATACCGTAAATACATGTAGCCTTTTGAAATGTGCGAATCACGCGATCGTCTATCTTACCGTCAGTTATAATGTTTTCCACTTCTCCCTGACCGTCTGTTATACAGTAGACTTATAGTTGGCTATAATGTATTACACTTCTCTCTGACCGTCTGTTATACAGTAGACTTATCGTCAGATATAATGTATTCCACTTCTCTCTGACCATCTGTTATACAGTAGACTTATCGTCGGCTATAATGTATTCCACTCTCTGACCGTCTGTTATACAGTAGACTTATCGTCAGTTATAATGTATTCCACTTCTCTCTGACCGTCTGTTATACGGTACACTTATCGTCAGTTATAATGTATTCCACTTCTCTCTGACCGTCTGTTATACAGTTAACTTATCGTCAGCTATAATGTATTACACTTCTCTCTGACCGTCTAGATCTGTAATACAGTAGACTTATCGTCAGCTATAATGTACTCCACTTCTCTCTGACCGTCTGTTATACAGGAGACTTATCGTCAGCTATAATGTATTCTACTTCTCTCTGACCGTCTGTTATAAAGTAGACTTATCGTCTGCTATAATTTATTCCATTTCTCTCTGACCGTTTGTTTCAGAGTAGACTTATCGTCAGCTATATTTAACTACACTTCTCTCTGACCGTCTGTTATACAGTAGACTTATCGTCAGCTATAATGTATTCTACTTCTCTCTGACCGGCTGTTATACAGTAGACTTTTCGTCAGCTATGATGTATTCCGCTTCTCTATGTCCGTCTATTATACAGTAGACTTACCGTCAGCTATAATGTATTCCACTGCTCTCTGACCGTCTGGAATACAGTAGACTTATAGTCAGCTATGATGTATTCCACTTTTCTCTGACCGTCTGTTATAAAGTAGACTTATCCTCAGCTATAATGTATAACGCTTCTCTCTGACCGTCTGTAATACAGTAGACTTATCGTCAGCTATGATGTATTCCACTTCTCTATGTCCGTCTATTATACAGTAGACTTATCGTCAGCTATAATGTATTCCACTTCTCTCTGACCGTCTATTATACAGTAGACTTATCGTCAGTTATAATGTATTCCACTTCTCTCTGAACGTCTGTTATACAGAAGACTTATCGTCGGCTATAACGTATTCCAATTCTCTCTGACGGTCTGTTATACAGTAGACTAATCGTCAGCTATAATGTATTCCACTTCTCTCTGACCGTCTGTTATACAGTAGACTTATCGTCAGCTATGATGTATTCCACTTTTCTCTGACCGTCTGTTATACAGTAGACTTAGCGTCAGCTATAATGTATTCCAATTCTCTCTGACCGTCTGTTATACAGTAGACTTATCGTCGGCTTTAATGTATTCCACTTCTCTCTGACCGTCTGTTATACAGTAGACTTATCGTCAGCTATAATGTATTCCACTACTCTCTGACGGTCTGTTATACAGTAGACTTATCGTCAGCTATGATGTATTCCACTTTTCTCTGACCGGCTGTTATACAGTAGACTTATCGTCAGCTATAATGTATTCCACATTCTCTGCCCGTCTTTTATACAGAAGACTTATTGTCGGCTATAATGTATTCCACTTCTCTCTGAACGTCTGTTATACGGTACACTTATCGTCAGCTATAATGTATTCCACTTCTCTCTGTCCGTCTGTTATACAGTAGACTTATCGTCAGCTATAATGTATTCCACATTCTCTGACCGTCTTTTATACAGAAGACTTATTGTCGGCTATAATGTATTCCACTTCTCTCTGAACGTCTGTTATACGGTACACTTATCGTCAGCTATAATGTATTCCACTTCTCTCTGACCGTCTTTTATACAGTAGACTTATCGTCAGCTATAATGTATTACACTTCTCTCTGTCCGTCTATTATACAGTAGAGTTATCGTCAGCTATAATGCATTCCACTTCTCTCTGACCGTCTGTTATACAGTAGACTTATCGTCAGCAATAATGTATTACACTTCTCTCTGTCCGTCTATTATACAGTAGACTTATCGTCGGCTATAATGTATTCCACTACTCTCTGATCGTCTGTTATACAGTATACTTGTCGTCAGTTATAATGTATTCCAGTTCTCTCTGACCGTCTATTATACAGTAGACTGATCGTCGGCTATAACGTATTCCACTTCTCTCTGACCGTCTGTTATACAGTAGACTTATCGTCAGCTATAATGTATTCCACTTCTCTCTGGCTGTCTGTTAGACAGTATACTTTTCGTCAGTTATAATGTATTCCACTTCTCTCTGACCGTCTGTTATACAGTAGACTTATCGTCGGCTATAATGTATTCCACTACTCTCTGATCGTCTGTTATACAGTATACTTGTCGTCAGTTATAATGTATTCCAGTTCTCTCTGGCCGTCTATTATACAGTAGACTGATCGTCGGCTATAATACAGTAGACTTATCGTCAGCTATAATGTATTACACTTCTCTCTGACCGTCTGCTATACAGTAGACTTATCGTCGGCTATAATGTATAACACTTCTCTCTGACCGTCTGTTATACAGTAGACTTAGCGTCAGCTATAATGTATTCCACTTCTCTCTGACCGTCTGTTATACAGTAAACTTATCGTCGGCTATAATGTAGTCCACTTCTCTTTGACCGTCTGTTATACAGTAGACTTATCGTCAGCTATAATGTATTACACTTCTCTCTGTCCGTCTGTTATTCAGTAGACTTATCGTCAGCTATAATGTATTACACTTCTCTCTGACCGTCTGCTATACAGTAGACTTAACAGTAGACTTATCGTCAGCTATGATGTATTCCACTTCTCTCTGACCGTCTGTTTTACAGTACACTTATCGTCGGCTATAATGTTGTCCACTTCTCTTTAACCGTCTGTTATACAGTAGACTTATCGTCGGTTATAATGTAGTCCACTTCTCTCTGACCGTCTGTTATACAGTAATGTATTCCACTTCTCTCTGTCCGTCTATTATACAGTAGACTTATCGTCGGCTATAATGTATTCCCCTTCTCTCGGACCGTCTGTTATACAGTAGACTTATTCCAATTCTCTCTGACCGTCTGTTATACAGTAGACTTGTCGTCAGTTATAATGTATTCCCCTTCTCTCTGACCGTCTGTTATACAGTAGTCTTGTCGTCAGTTATAATGTATTCCACTTCTCTCTGACCGTCTGTAATATAGTAGACTTATCGTCGGCTATAATGTATTCCACTTCTCTCGGACCGTCTGTTATACAGTAGACTTATTCCAATTCTCTCTGACCGTCTGTTATACAGTAGACTGATCGGCAGTTATAATGTATTCCACTTCTCTCTGACCGGCTGTTATACAGTAAACTTATCGTCGGCTATAATGTATTCCACTTCTCTCGGACCGTCTGTTATACAGTAGACTTATTCCAATTCTCTCTGACCGTCTGTTATACAGTAGACTGATCGGCAGTTATAATGTATTCCACTTCTCTCTGACCGTCTGCTATACAGTAGACTTATCGTCAGCTATAATGTATCTATAATGTATTCCACTTCTCTCTGACCGTCTGTAATATAGTAGACTTATCGTCGGCTATAATGGATTCCACTTCTCTCTGACCGTCTGTTATACAGTAGTCTTGTCGTCAGTTATAATGTATTCCACTTCTCTCTGACCGGCTGTTATACAGTAAACTTATCGTCGGCTATAATGTAGTCCACTTCTCTTTAACCGTCTGTTATACAGTAGACTTAACGTCAGCTATAATGTATTACACTTCTCTCTGTCCGTCTGTTATTCAGTAGACTTATCGTCAGCTATAATGTATTCCCCTTCTCTCTGACCGTCTGTTATACAGTAGGCTTATCGTCAGCTATAATGTATTCCACTTCTCTCTGACCGTCTGTTTTACAGTAAACTTATCGTCGGCTATAATGTTGTCCACTTCTCTTTGACCGTCTGTTATACAGTAGACTTATCGTCAGCTATAATGTATTCCACTTCTCTCTGACCGTCTGCTATACAGTAGACTTATCGTCTGCTATAATGTATTCCACTTCTCTCTGACCGTCTGTAATATAGTAGACTTATCGTCGGCTATAATGTATTCCACTTCTCTCTGACCGTGTGTTATACAGTAGACTTATCGTCAGCTATAATGTATTCCACTCCTCTCTGACCGTCTGTTATACAGTAGACTTGTCGTCAGTTATAATGTATTCCACTTCTCTCTGACCGTCGGTTATACAGTAGACTGATCGTCAGCTATAATGTATTCCAATTCTCTCTGACCGTCTGTTATACAGTAGACTTGTCGTCAGTTATAATGTATTCCACTTCTCTCTGACCGTCTGTAATACAGTAGACTGATCGTCAGCTATAATGTATTCCAATTCTCTCTGACCGTCTGTTATACAGTAGACTTGTCGTCAGTTATAATGTATTCCACTTCTCTCTGACCGTCTGTAATACAGTAGACTTATCGTCAGCTATAATGTATTCCACTCCTCTCTGACCGTCTGTTATACAGTAGACTTGTCGTCAGTTATAATGTATTCCACTTCTCTCTGACCGTCTGCTATACAGTAGACTTATCGTCAGCTATAATGTATTCCGCTTCTCTCTGACCGTCTGTTTTACAGTAAACTTATCGTCGGCTATAATGTTGTCCACTTCTCTTTAACCGTCTGTTATACAGTAGACTTAACGTCAGCTATAATGTATTACACTTCTCTCTGATCGTCTGTTATACAGTAGACTTATCGTCAGATATAATGTATTACACTTCTCTCTGACCGTCTGTTATACAGTAGAAAACATGTCTTCATTGAAGCTTTGTTTCCTAACGTCCTTAAATAAAGTAAAATATGTGATTTCTTCTAACCTCTGTCTGAGCGTCAGTTATGTAGTGTAATGTTTCTCACTCAAACCTCGTACTATACATATGTGTCTTCCTCTCAAACGAGTCCTATACAATGCAGTTCTCTTACTAGCCTTTTCTCAGAAGTATAATCAATGAGAAAATGAATGTTATATGTGTATCTTACCTTTTTTTGTACTAGGAGAATGAGCAAATATTACCCAACCCCTCTCCTTAGCTGTTTTAATAAGAAAGATTAGGTACGGACAAATTTCTTATAATAATACCAGTTCAACTCTTCTAGACGCCCTGTTAGTTTATTCACCGAATATCAAGTATATCATTGTTCGTGCTGCAACGAAGTACCAAATACTTTACACAAAAATTGTGATAAATCTTTGACTTACGGTATCATTATTCAAATTGAGCCAGATTTCACTCATTTTTCCAATTAAAAATGCATAACTCTTAAATTTCTTAGATATAATTAATTTTTGAGCGTTACAATATGAACTAGTGAAATATCTTTTCGCTTTATTGCCCAAAAGGTATATTAATTATAACATGGACCTTATTTCTACTGATACATTTGATTAAAATAACTGCAAACTGCTAATTCACAGAAATTTAATTAAGAAAGTATTACAAAATCAATTTTGAAAGTAAAATTTCAAACATATCATAAGGTTATGAAAAGAATTCTATTATAATAGTCAAAAAAACAATTTGAGTGAAATCAAATGCATAATATGAAACTATCAAAATTGCATTCCTGGTTTAAAAAAACGTGCAGTGTTATTTTAAAACCCCGATCATCATCATTTGTTAAAATGATGACCGGGATACAACAACACGTATCAACATGCTTTAAACAGTACGGAAGAAAAGACACAACGCCAAAAGGTAAGGAAGAGGAAAAAGTCGTGCGGTTACGATGCAAGCCACGGTGTTAACTGTAACATAGAAAACAAAGTCAACTCATTGCAGATGTAAGCATGCAAAGCGAATATCGATCTAAATTGTATAACTTGTTAAATAATGACAAAAGTAAATTGACATATTCCAATCTTAGAGGAAAGAACTAAACATAATTACACTGTAATACTCCCTCGGGGTCATATCCCCTGTTATAGGGAGCAAGGTTGTTGTCGAGATATTTAACTACGGAAATAATTCGGCAAACTTAAGGGATGAAAAAATAGCCGCTCCCTAGACAACGTGCACGGTGTCACACCGGATGTCCCCATTGTCAGACAGTCGCAGAAATAAACCAGTTGGAAATAAGTAGAAAGCGAGGACGATATTTCGTCAACAGATAACCTTACCTTACTTACTAAATATCTCCGATGTGATGAAAACCTACGAGCGCAACAGCCAGTACTTCGCCCTTTGGGATCCAGGGAAGTCAATGAGGGATCCGGGGAGGGCGGGGCTGTCTCCGATGGCTTACTCGTAAGGGCTCCGTTATATGCCAGTTCTATATCTCCGAATTCACGGTCCTACAAAAGGGCACATTGGTTCTAGAGTTGCCTTGCGCCCTAACTTTGATCTGGGAAACTAAAACTGCATCTTCTTTCGTGATATCCAGGTTCGTTCGTAGACGCATACGTGAATTTTATTTTACTGTTCAAGGAAGGCCAATGTATTCTCCCCCAAAAGCAACAGGTTTATTTGTTTTTACATATTACTGCAAGTGGGGTAGCGTAAACATGTATTCTATGCGCGTGTAACTTCAAACAAGACCTGTGGGCAAAGTGAAACCTTGTTAGTTCAGCTACCTTAAATTCCAGTTAAAACGACTTTCAGTTAAAGGATAAGAATAAAGGGACAATTCTAGATCGAAAATGGAGATAACTTCTCACAAAACACTATGGATAACAGGACAACCGGATTTCTGGTAGCTGGAATTACAAGGCTCCTCTCAATTATTAATATGATATGAAAAGTACCACAAGTACCGTGTCTTTGTTACATTCCTAGGTGAGAAAGAGAAAATTGACATGATGACATTACATTGTGGATTGTTTAGTTTAATCTTTAACAGAACGACACGATTGGCCTGACTTGATACGAATTAAAAGAAGTGTTACATATCTAGTAGAGTCGAAAACCATACATTCGATAAACGTGTTAATATTTTCTCATAGAAAGAAAATAAAAAAGATGTGATATCATAAAAAAGAACATTCTTTCAATTCAACAAAAAAATATGCTTTCTAACCCACATTTTTCTCTCCGTTAGTGGTAAATAATTAGCTTTAATTAGACAGTCGATGAGTCAGTATGTACCTGAACACTGGATTTCTACAAGGGGATTAAGCAGCCGTTATAAGCAGATATAGTAAATACTACGGGAATCACGTGGAGACAACTAGGCTTTCAAACCGTCACTACTCAATTCTACTGCCGCCCTAGAGAGTGCATGTGATGATAGACAGATTTACATAGTCCTAAGAGTGGTAATAGATTAGTTCAGAATTAATATGAACATGCAAAAGCAAGTAGATTTTGAAACATTTCTTTTTCGACGAAATCATGGATTAAAAAATACACTTTTTGTGAGTGTTTAGTCTTATGTACAGAAACCAGTTTCGAACGAAATTGAATTGTTGTTCCTTCGATTAAAATTTATCAATTCATAAAAGTTATTTCACCATTTTTTTGTCAGAAGTAACAGACAAGCTCCGCACTTAATCAAATAATACGTTTTTTTTATATTTTCTTCTTTAACTAGAAAGTTAGGCTTTAAGGTTTCCACACTCCAATCATATGCATTCTCAGGTGTATGCTTCGCCTGTGAATATATATATAGAAACGAAAGCAAGAAAAGACAAGCACTCCGTTAGGGTACAATTGCAAGGAAAAGGTTCAAGATATCAAAACGACGTTGCTGAAATATTAATATATGCCCACTCACCATCCCTATTTTAACTTTTTCGACAACGTCATTCCGGCCTTACCTTCCCAAAACACTTATAGTCATCACTCCCTAACCCAGGATACAGTGCTTTATACTAAACACATTTCATATCATAACCATATAGTATCGGATATATACACGTATAATATGTAACATTTTTCTACTCCACTACAGAGAGGAAGACATTTCCCATACACGTCATTGTTCGCAGTGTAATTGTGTAAGATTTGCATGTGAAACGATAGTCTACTAACTATCATGTAATAATGATTAGCAGGCATAAATCCCATGCAATATACGTGTACATGAACTATGATATATATATATATATATGGCGCACATTTCAAGGCAGACTGGGTGTTGTTTGGGTACGGACTGAGTCCGCCGCCGGCAGACGGCGCTCTTGGTGACCTACCGTGGTTTTCTCTAAACAATGCAGTAGATGGTGGTGCTGCATCTCTAGCATATTTTGTTTACTGTCGTCTAACTCCACGCCACTTTCACGCGCTCGTCGAGCTTCCTCTGCCCGTTTCTTGCTGTGGAGGAACGCTGCTCCACTGGACTTTTTAGCCATGTGGATTCGAGCCTGTCGAGCTTTCTGTAAAATAAAAGATGTGATAGACTATAAGACTCTGTCATATGTACCGGAGGTGGATGGATAATTCCTCCCGAGGGGATCATAAATTGGGGTAAAACCCGAGGCTTTGGTTTATGATCCCAAGAAGGAATTCTCTATCCACCTACCGTTACATATGGAAGAGTATTTTTCTCTCATATCGACCATTAAAAAACAAATTCTTCACCTCTCAATGCCCACAGACGGTCGCCATCTTCCAGTTTTATAAATACTTTCTCTGTGGTTTAAAAACAAAAATAGCAGTAGAAATGAATTATCTATACCCTCAAACCGCAACATTGTTGCACGCATAAAAACAACACATTTCCATGAAACCTCTATGGTTTAGTTGTTATTCAATTTTCTATTTTCCATACGGCATTTTCTAAGCGTCATCTCTGAACCTCATCGCTACTTACTGTACATCTCATTTAGTGCGTAAAGAAATATAGTTCCTAGTTGAAAACAGAAAACCAACTTATGTTTTTGTTGTCAAATTTTGAATGTTGTAATTAATTAATATAAATGAAATTATAGATACAATTAATATATACAGAGCCGGGCGTAAGTTGTTGACATTGGGAGTTGCTCCCCCTAGTTTTTGTTTTACAATATACTACGCGATGTGAGTAGCCTATGTAAGATAGACTCAGCAAGCATTAAGGTTGAAGATTGAAACCACAACATTGTATGTCTAGCAAAAGTATCTACATATTACATCACGATCTTTTTATAGCCCGATCATTTACATATTAGATTTGTAAAATCTCATTCAGCTTCCATCATTCCCCAGTTATTATTGGTTATCTAGACAATAAGTGAAGATGTACATGTTCTGCCATCATAAAACCACATGACCATTTTAGATTTAAAATTGACCAAAACGATTACAACATCTTTTGTAAGGTCAACTAGAGGAGTATTCATACTTACATTGGTACATATTCGTTCCGCTGAACTTCAAATTATCAAGCTTATCATAGAGGGGAATTTAATGTTTTTGGATTTTGAATTAACCCATTATTTACACATTATCATGGTGGATCGTGAGAAGCCGTCGAAACACCATTACAAATCAGAGGACAGTGGAAGTCTTCTGTGTCAATGACCTTATATCATCTACCGAATGCAACTATCATTCTATATCAACTACAATGTGTTATTGTGGACATATAAGTATTATTCACATTGATATAATTTGACCCTGATTAGAATTTTTAAGGTATTACTATGTCCAATAACTCAAAAAGTCAAGAGCATGAAATCAGAATCTTCAAATTTAACCGTAAGACAAACTCGTGTGATTACAGTTTACCAAACACTAATTACTTTGTACCATACAGCCCTTTCGTCATTCTAGTGCTCATCGCTCATGCTAGGAGCCACAAAGGTGGTAAATCAAGTTCGTCTTAACTACTTTTTAAACAAAAGGGGAGGTGCTTAAAACTCCTTAATTAAATGGATTTCAGAAATCCGAGAGCTGTTTAACATTGTTTGACAATGTCTGATCTCTAACCAATCATTAGTGAATTGTCTGTATTGACAGAAATCCGAGAGCTGTTTAACATTGTTTGACACTGTTTGATTTCTAACTAATAATTAGTGAATTGTCTGTATTGACAGAAATCAGAGTGCTGTTTAACAGTGTTTGACACTGTTTGATTTCTAACTAATAATTAGCGAATTGTCTGTATTGACAGAAATCAGAGTGCTGTTTAAGCGTGTTTGACACTGTCTCATTTCTAACTAATAATTAGCGAATTGTCTGTATTGACAAAAATCAGAGTGATGTTTAACAGTGTTTGACACTGTCTCATTTCTAACTAATAATTAGTGAATTGTCTGTATTGATAGAAATCAGAGTGCAGTTTAACAGTGTTTGACACTGTTTGATTTATAACTAATAATTAGTGAATTATATGTATTGACAAAAATCTTAGTGCCGTTTAACATTGTTTGACACTGTTTCATTTCTAACTAACAAAAATCAGAGTGATGTTTAACATTGTTTGACACTGTTTAATTTCTAACTTATAATTAGGGAATTGTCTGTATTGATAGAAATCTGATTGCTGTTTAACATTGTTTGACACTGTTTGATTTTTAACTAATAATTAGTGAATTATCTGTATTGACAAAAATCTTAGTGCTGTTTAACATTGTTTGACACTGTCTCGTTTCTAACTAATAATTAGTGAATTGTCTGTATTAACAGAAATCAGAGTGATGTTTAACATTGTTTGACACGGTCTGATCTCTAACCAATCATTAGTGAATTGTCTGTATTGACAGAAATCCGAGAGCTGTTTAACATTGTTTGACACTGTTTGATTTTTAACTAATAATTAGTGAATTGTGTGTATTGATAGAAATCAGAGTGCTGTTTAACAGTGTTTGACACTGTCTCATTTCTAACTAATAATTAGC